GTTACTTAAAAGGTGGTATATTTCACTGGCTGTGACAGCAAGAGCTATCTTAAAGCAGGAAACAAATACAGTTGTCTGACATGTCTTAGCTGCCCAGGATCAGCTAAGATTTATTTGCCTGACCCCACACACTGCACTGCTATTGACTGGAAGTCGTACGTCCTACTCCATTGCTAGCCAGGAACTGCTTTCCCTCTCAGCCTCACATACTTTTAATTTGGAACCGTAACATCTCATTTCCAGAATAATTTAGGATTGCTAATCATTGAAATATTCCTATTTATAAGAATATTTGCCAAACCTGTGTGCAGAGCAGTTTAGTTAATCATTATAAGCATCAAAAATTTTATACTGCTTTCATATCAGATACCTAATTTTTCATGTGTGTATTAGTTAACACGAGTAAGGATGGCTGAATCAATCACATCATAATCGTGAACACAATATTCTTGTCAAGTACAATAGGACAAATCAATTGCTGTGACAATAATTGTTTTTCAGAGTCATGGTTTCAGAAAAAATAATTGTTCAATTATTTTTATTTCAGTATTGTACTTACTTTATAAAACAACAATTAAAATATGGTCTATTTGCCAATAAAAGAGAGCAAATAATATATCATTAGGAAAACAGTTCTTAGAAAAACAGTTTATGTGATCTGTTAGGAGACTTGTACAATGTCAATTTAAAAACGTTAACTTACATGAGACTCATTTTCTTCATTTGCATGTATCCACATTAAAAAGCGTTCTTTCAACAGCTTTTCTAGATTTTTTTTTACTATTATTTTTGGTTCATATTTAAAAAATTCCAGAGTTAGGATGAAAGGGAATTAATTAAATTGCATGAATACAATGATCATTGTTTAGGTTACTGTCTAGTGAAGAGTACATTTTCATACTGGTGGCAAAAATACTGAAATCAAGGGGCTTTGTTTGTGGGTCTATAGAGAACCGTTGTCTCACACAGCATAGCAAAGTCTAAGTAACTAAGCAGTAGTTTCCTTGATGGCCCAGCTCCCGTTTTCAAAAAAAACTTTGCTGGAGCTTTTAAAATATGTGCAAGTATACAAATACGCACTCAAGTGGGATTCCTGTATACCTAAATACCTTTATAAAAGTAATCTTTGGATGATTATGCTATGTCTCTGTTAGTAAGCAGTGTGGACAAATGGGAGATCTATAGAGTAGAACAGCTGGTGCTACAGACTTGACATCCACACTACACATGTTTCATTGCTTTTTCACTATGGACAAGCTCTATTCCTTATGCACTCCTTCCCTATGATGTTGTATCTTCATCATGTCTCAGTTCAACTCCCTGTAGTTTCAAAACTTCTACAACCGTTCCATTCCTCTAATCATCTTCTTTGTACTCCTTTATACCTATTTAATTCAACTTATCCTTTCTGAGATGAGCTGACGGGCCCTTCTGGCAGTCTTCAGGATACAGACATACCATGGATTTATGCACTGACATCCTATTGTTTTCTGTTTTGTTCTTTATTCTGTTTCTAATCTCTCGTAACATTCTATTTGCTGTTTTGACTGCCACTAAACGTTGAGCTGTTTTGTTCAAAGAACTATCTACAATGACTTCAAGACTGTTTTCTTGAGTGGTAATTGCTAATTTAGAACTGATCATTGTGTATTTATAGTTAGCGATTTTTTCCCCCATGCATATTGCTTTCAGTTTACTGGCACTGAATTTCATTCTCTTATTTTATTGCCCAGTCTCTCAATATCGTGAGATCCTTTGCAGTCAGCTTTAATTTTTATTGCCCTAAATAAACCACGGCTGTTATCTCACCACAGTCTGAAAACAGGTTAGTCTGACAAAAACCTATTTTCCATGTCTGTCTTTACTTCATTAGCATATTTTGAGATATTTTTCCCTGTAGTTTTTGATTAAAAAAACCTGATTGCTTGTGCAGAAAACAAAGGAGAAAGGTCAGGCATTTCATGTGTTTTTTTTCTGGCCAGCAAAAGATATATGAAAGTGTTAACTAAACAGTGGGCATTATCACCACTCTAATATCTAAGTGATTTATATTATTTATGGGTCTGTCTTCGGAATGCTTGTTTCTGATCTGGACTTTGCACATGAAGTAACAATATGTTTTGACTGATGACAGAAAAAGTGGACATCTGACCCACCTTTGTTAATGTACAGAGCGAAGGAGGAATTTTGGCTGAAATTTTGCAACCAGAACCTCAACTCTTTGTTCAAATAGCTCAAGAAAGTCATTCAAGAAGTTAATAAAGATAGAGAGGATTTTTTTTTGTAAAGGGATTCAATTCCTGGCCAAAACGAGGCTGTTGCACAATGCAAGCCTCTTAGTTTCCTGTAGCCGACTCTCTCAAATGTGTTCAACCTTTACAAATTCCAGGAACTCTGAGTTCATCATTCTAAACAGAATTGCTAAAGTTTCCCTAAATTATTATTTGGAAGGACTACGGGGGAGAAAAGTGAGCCTACGCTTACTTCGTGCACAACATGCTAATTTATAGCAACATACCAGTACTCTGGCGTTATCTTGCTCCTAAGCTTCTGTAGCAGTTACTGGCTAGATAGCACAGTGTGTGGGAAATATTACAGTTCCTGGGAAATATTATTTGTAAGCAGCTTTTGGTCTTAAAAGACGAAAAGGTGTTGCTGCAAAAGTGGATTATTCTGTTGGTCAGCAGAGGTTCTTTGTTATGCTTTTCCCTAGACACCAAATATAAACTCACAGTCAACTTGTGGTTGATTTCAAAGAAGATTGGAGAAAGGCAGACAGTCAAAGACAAATTTTAAAAAGTGGTATCAGTAAATCGACTCAAGTGATGTATTAAACAAAGTGGTGAATGTTCTTTGGTGGTCAGCTTCTGTCCTAACATACCATATTGTCTTAGATATTTTGTCATAAGAAACTCTTTTAGAAAGAAATACTATGTTAATAAAATGGTATATCAGTTAAAGTGTCCTTACTGCATTACTTCTTTTCAGTGAAGACCTGTGTAGAAAGATGATTTACAATGAGGTTCATAAACCTGTAAAAGGTTGAGATTTCTCTTCTGAATTCCCAAAGGCTCCTGAACCAGCACTTGCTCTCTCACTTCCTTTTATTATAGCTCATTAGCTCTCTCCTTCCACAGTTTTCTTTTGGCAGGATGAATCTCAGATATACTCAACTGCTCTGATCTGTTGATCAGAACCAGTCAAAGTTCCAGCTACCTTTGTTTTTTTGAAGGATCTGTGCCAAGAACCAGTGAAAACACAACGCGTTTTTCTAAGGTGGTTCTACAAAGACAGAGAGGGGGAACATATCTTCCTTTCCATAAAAATCCCTAAGTCCCAAAGAGCTTTAAAAAAACTCCAGAAAGAAATGCTGGTAGTTGATATTGATCATTAAGAAAAAGTCAAACTTTGCATTTAGAAACAGAACCCTTAACCATTTTTTCACTTCAGATTCAGGAAAATCAGCCTTCCTGTTGCTAAACAGCTAAGTTTGTTAAGTCAAAAACAAGCTGTTAATTTTAATTATATAATTGAGCTTTTTATGTCCAAAGTACTTTAGATATATGGTACTTTTATCTTTCAAACTTGGTGTCACTCTGGCAGGCTTTCTCAACGGTGTCCAAAGAAGTGGTAGATAACAGGAATTTAGAAAGCTGCTAGTGGAAAGCGTTAAATGAAGAAGATGCTGATAAAAATTTCTTTTACTTTAACCATCAAGTAGAACTTTTGTTATGGAGACTGAGTTTTGTACGCTCTCCGAGCAATGGTAGTTTTTGTTAAATATTCAGTGGCGCAGAGGATTCTGCTGTGCTTGCAGACCACGGAATGATTGGGTGCTTTCATTCCAGCTTCTGTCAAGCACGTTACCTTAATACCGTAAACTAGTTTCTAATAGACTCCGTATTATGGATTAATACTGAATGACACGAGCTACTGCTTCTGGAGATGTATCTTTTAGGCCATAATTTCAGTTCTGTTTACAGCACAATAAGGGAAAACAATGAATAATGATCATACTTTGCATTATGTACAACACTCAATTATATTACTTAAGGGAGTTCTTGGTAATTCCCATATAAGATAAAGAATACTTTTTTTTGGTAAAACCTTTAAGAATTATTACTATAGTTTAATAGATACAAGAGTTTATTAAATGCAAATGCTGTACTGCACACTGCGGATGTGCTAAGTTGATGCAAAGTTCTTCATACAGCTAGAAAATTCTTATATTTTTATGAAAACTGTCCAAATCACTTAAAAAACGTGCTAACCACTTACATTAGGTGCCAACTTTTAGAAGCTTTTTATTAGCATCCAGAAATTCACTAAAAGAGGTAGAGAGTCCAGTGATCTTTTTGCCAAAATCCTGGTGGACTGAATGTTACAAATATGAAATTATTGGAGCAAGGGAGAAGGCATACGCTCCCATTATGAGCTGTGGAAGTGTAATCATTCTGATATATTTTTTTTCTATTTGTTTGGGTCTGTAACATGGTAATATTCTTTGGGATGTTTTTCCTGAGTGATTCACTATAGAAATAACCAATCTGATGAAACAGATCTATTGCCATGTGGCAACCTGATTCCTCAGACTGATTATACTCCCAGTCTGGTTATCATTCCTTTACCCCATACAGTTATTCAGAATTTATGAACAGGAGAGAAATATAAATTGGTATAATTTCTTGCTACAGTTCACCCTCTTTTTCCATCTGCTGAAACTGGAACATGCAGTGCATGTTTTTTGAGACTGTTGTAGGTGTAATGGAGACAGTAATAGCATTATATGGAGATAATCACAGCCTCAGAGGTGTGTATCCACTTTTGACTTTGATCTGGAGGGTTGATGGCTCTCTGTCATCCTGGCAGAGTTCAGTTCTCTATTTATGTGTTTTTTACTATACTGAAATGTATTTTCTTTACCTATGTTACTCTAAAAACATGCGTTTTTTTCAGAGCATTATGTTATAATTACCTTTTTTTTTCCTTTGTCATTGCAGTTGTTTCTTATCCTTACTGCTGGTAGCTGCTGTCGTTTGGAAAATCAAACAAACCTGTTGGGCTTCTCGACGGAGAGAGGTATCAGTGACTTTAAGATTATTGTGGTGACTTTAACCTTTCAATAAATTGAGAGCTTTGATGAACAACCACACCTACCCTTTGTCCTGTATACACAATTTAAATCTCCCTCTAAACACACCACTTATTATCTGGAAATTTATGGAAGAAAGGAAGAAGAAAATCTTTTTCCTTTCCCTGTTAAAAAAGCAGAAAGCACAGAACTAAATTACAGAAAGGTACATTTTCTTTCTGGTGGAATATAATGCTCTCAAATACTCTCAAAATAGTATTGCAAAAACATTGGTAAGTAAAATGAACACAGAGAATCATAGTGTACCATCTCAAACTTGGAAGCTATTCAGTGCTCTTGTTATTTGCAACTGTTACTGCAGCCTTGTTGTTATAAGTACTCATTGAAACATACAGTAGGAGAGAGCCCTCTCTGCAAAGTGTTTTTAGGGTTTTTTTAATCTTTTTGGCAATTTTTTTAATTCTAGACAAAATGCTAGCTCTATTGATATGAGTAGTTTTGTCATTAAAACCATGGCACAATTGAAACTCTTCTGTAAATACTCATATACAAGGTCACCAAATGTGAATGCATGAGTTTACCGATTTAGGGGGAGTAGTCTGTTCTCTATCATTACTCTCTTAGATGTTTGAAAAATAGTATTTTTTTAATGTAGTCTCTAGGCATTTTGAAACATGTCCTCATGGGAAAGGTTTTTAGAAACTTTCCAAGTTTTATTTTCCTGATGTCATAGGAAGTATCTCTAAGGCTGTATGAAAGTGCATACAAACTGACTGATAAATACAACATAAATGGAAATAACTTTCTTTGGAAGAGCAAAATACTTGGAGGCTGACTTAAAATTTTCAGAGATCTATGATTCAGTGCTGATCCGTGGTTTTTCTTGACTATAGCTAGAGAAATTCAGTTGTCTCTCATTTGGAAATGTTTCTTATTTAGTTTCAAAATGATAGGAATATGTGTTTATACATATTTTAAATGAGGTATAAAACAGTACCTAGAGTATGGTAGTGGTATGAATTGTAAATGTTTAAGCAAATGGCCTTTATTTCCATTCCCTTGCTTCATGCACATCAATGCCAGTCATATGGAATATAAGTTTTTGAAAATGCTCCAAATAATGCTCTACTTTAATCTAGGCCAGGAGAAGTTGGTTTTGTAGGTAGCTCAAATTTTAAAGTTTTGGAATTTGTTGCAAGTAAATTATATAAATAACGCATTAATAGAAGGCCATTTATCATTGACAAGAATTCTGAAGTTCCTACTGCTAAAGCCCACCCGTTTAGACTGATGGGCTTTCCATTTTTTCATCATACTTCAAATACAGGAATGTTTGACTCTTTAGGTGCTACCTTCATTATGGACGTGACCTACAGTAAGACAAGAAATATAACAAAAAGATTAAAAAAAAATGGAAAACATTGTTAATAGCTATTCACCATTGTTGTTCATCTCAGTCTGTTTTCTGCAAGAGAAAGAGAACCTTACTATCAGTTCTTATGATCTTTTAGTTATGAATTTTATCAGGCTGTTGAGGTAAGCATATAATTTTTTGAAGTATTCATAGGCTTCTTCATGTAGTTGAAAATTCAGAACCTTGTCCTGTTTTGCCTTCTGACCTTAATGCCTGGCTAAACTGGGTCATTGCTGATTCCAGGTTGAATGTAGCGTGGTATCAATCCAGCTACTTGTAAAGCAAGAGGAAGTTGTTTGCATTATGTAGCAGG